TCCCATCCTTCTCCAACTCTTCTCATCCTTCTCTCATCTTCTCATCCTTCTCAATTCTCATCCTACACTCACTACTCCTTCTTCTCATACCCCCCCTTCATCTCTCTCATTATCTCCATCCTCTCATCCTTCCGCTCTCCTCATTCCTTCTCCCCCCTTCTCCCCTTCGCCTTCTCTCATCCTTCTCCTTCTCTTCTGCCTTCTCCTTCTCCTCTCTCATCCTTCTTCTCATCGCCCCCTTCCCCTCCCATCGCCTCTTCCCCTTCTTCTCCTCCTTCTCATTCCTTCCCCCTCATCCTTCTCCTTCTTCTCCCCTTCTCCTTCTTCTCTCCATTCTCCTTCTTCTCATCCTTCCTCCTTCTTCTCATCCTTCCCTTTCTTCTTCTTCCTTCCTTCTCCTTCTTATCCTTCTCCTTCTTCTCATCCCATTCTCCTTCTTCTCATCCTTCTCCTTCTTTCTCCTTCTCTTCTCTCCTTTTCCTTCTTCTCATCCTTCATTCTTCTCCTCTTCTTCTTCTCATCCTTCTCCTTCTCCTCCTTCTCTTTCTTTCTCCTCCTTCTCTTCTTCTTTCCTTCTTCTCATCTTCTCCTCTTCTCCTCCTTCTCCTTCTCCTTCTTCTCATCCTTCTCCTCTCAGTCCATTCTTCTTCTCATCCTTCTCCTTCTTCTCATCTTCTTTTCTCATCCTTCTCCTTCTCCTCATCCTTCTCCTTCTTCTCATCCTTCTCCTTCTCCTTCTTCTCATCCTTCTCCTTCTCCTTCTTCTCATCCTTCTCCTTCTCCTTCTTCTCATCCTTCTCCTTCTTCTCATCCTCTCCTTCTTCTCACCCTTCTCCTTCTCCTTCTTCTCATCCTTCTCCTTCTCTTCTTCCTCATCCTTCTCCTTCTCCTTCTCCTTCCTCATCTCCAAGGGCATTTAAATTAAAGGTACAGTGTTCTGCACTAATTTAAAGGCTCTCTGAAGCCTAGAAACCCTTTAAATAAGTCATCTTCGTAGCGGAGAAATTCGCATCGAATCGAATTTCACACTGGAATTCGCCGAATCAGCCGAATCGAATTTTTCATTTCTTCGCTCATCTCCCCCCTCATCTCCTTCATGATGGAAGTCAATGCTGAGATCATCTTCCCATTGGGCTGAGCAATATTCTCATTTGTCTCTCAGCTCCTTCTTGCTATTTCTCTCTCGTCCTGCCTGTTGTTTCCTTGGATTGATTTTCTGTGTAGTGACCCCGGCTTGGTCTCTTGGGATGCATCACGTCTGTTGCTTCTGCAACCTGACCTTTTCTCCTGATTCCTGGATCTGCTCTTCATCTCTCCTCCATATCCTCTTACACAGCTTTTCTCCACAACCTGCAGTGACCTGGGGGAGGAGGGAAACTTGGCACGCAGGACGCCCACCCAAATCAATCCCCACCATTAGGGGCTCTGGAGACAATTGTCTGCTATTTACAACTCCGTTCCTCCGCACGTCAAACTGATCACATGACAGCTTACATTTCCACAGATTCGGACAGATTATCTGGATGGGTAAAGGTCAAAGTTCACTCTTCAGTTTAGGAGAGGTAGAGCAGGACGCACCCTGGAACAAAGGATTTGGTTTGCATTTAAGCCTAATATAGAGGACCCCTCAAAATCTCCCCATCCAAATGTCCCTCCATCCAGAGTCTGTATGTCCTATGACATCACACTGACGTCACAGCTCACTCCTCCCAATGTCCCTTCAATCCAGAGTCTATATGTTCTATGACATCACACTGACCTCACACGCTCCTCCTCCCAATGTCCCTCCATCAGAGTCAGAGAATCCTATGACATCACACTGACCTCACAGCTCCTCCTCCCAATGTCCCCCTCCATCCAGAGTCTATATGTCATAGGATTCTCTGACTCTGGATGGAGGGACATTAGGAGGAGGAGCTATGAGGTCACTGTGATGTCAAAGGACATATAGATTAACCAAAATTATTGGTAGTTGTGATTTATACACAGCATGTTTGTTACAATGAATGTTTTATTATATCTTTCCAGAGTGGAATCCTCGGGGATGATAATATTGATGTTAAAGAAGAGTATAAAGAGGAGGATGAGGAGTATGGAGTGATGGAGGAGTTTTTCAGAAAGACACAAGGAGATGATGGAGCCACCTAATACCAGGAACCCACCAGAGAGATGTCCCCGTCCTCTGTATTCCCCGGGATTCACAACACAGGAAGGTCACACCATCCCTCACCATCATCAGGTAGATGATTGACAACTGAAGTTCTGCTTTATAAACAGGTTTGTTTGTTACAATAATTTATTTATTTCAGAGTGGAATCCTCGGGGATGATAATATTGTTGTTAAGGAAGAATTTATAGAGGAGGATGAGGAGTATGGAGTGATGGAGGAGTTTTCAGAAGGGCCCAAGGATATGATGGAGCCACCTAATACCAAAGAAAAACCCACCAGAGAGATGTCCCCGTCTTCTGTATTCCCAGGATTCCACACAGGAAGGTCACACCATCCCTCACTATTACAAGGTTGGTGGTGGGCTGGGAGAATCTAGAAACATGGGACTTGTGACAATTTGTACATTTTCATGTCATGTTAGTTTATATTTTACAGATGATATTTTTCTCTTACTTATTTTAGGGGTGAAGATTTAATAGATATAAAAGTTGAGGTTAAAGCAGAAGAAGAAGAGGCGTATGTGAGGGATGATCAGCAGTCTATGGAGGGGGAGGATGGAATAACGGGGACATTTATAGAGGAGGGACAATCCTACAGAGATCAGCACAGGTGGGTCATGAACACTAAATCCATTTCCTCCACCCATTACTGCTCACTGATTGGTCCAGAGAGTAGGGCGGGGGACTGGGTGATATCAGCCTGTAATCCCCTGGTCACTTTTTTTGAGCTGGACTTGAACCCAGGAACTCTACTGTGTGTGGCAGAAACTCTTCTCACTGAGCTACCTGATATAATGGACGGCACTCTGCTTATCCATTGCTGTGTTTTCTGCTGAACCTTGAACTCTTTGCTCCTCCCATGAACTTCCTGATTTAAGCCATGTCTCTGCACTTCCTGTTTGGCAGATTATTGTGCCTTCTCCATCCAATATCTTGCTCTTATCTCTCTGCTGACCGTCTGTAGCTTTGCTATTGACCTTTGGCTTGTTTCTGGTCTATGATTCTGCTTCATCCCAACCTGCAACCACTTGTTACTGACCCTTGGCTTGTTTATTGGACTACTACTACTGTGACCTCGGTATTAACATGCAGCAAAACCCATACCCACCATCTGGAGCTCTGTGTGATACTGGTTAGTGCTTAGACCCCGCAACCTCAGGTGAGCCGCGTCATTCTGTCAGGGGTGACCTGCCTGTATTACCTATCCTGTTGGTTGGTCTTCTGCTATAACTTCTGGTCTCTGAGCCTGACCTGCTGACCGGCACAGGAAAATCTGACCCAAACATGGAGGCCGCTTGTTAGCAAATGCCGTGGCTCCTTTCAGGCACCAACTTTCAGACTGCAAGAGTTCGGTGTTACTTACTAAGAAAAATGTTCTGGAAAGTGTGTTTTAGTTAAAAGGTGGCAACCGGAGGAAATCCATGACTGTAAAGACGATTGCTGGACTTATGTTCCCGCGATGTTGCTAACACAGGCATGCCTCTGTCAGTCTAATGTTCAATGGAGACCGACGCCATTACAGAGGTTTCCTTAAACCAATGCCAACATTTTTTTTCCAGATAGATTGCAACCTGCTGTATTTAATTCTGAGAAATAGAAAGTATTGTTTGTGTTATAAACCTCCTGACTGAGGAAGCCCCTAGCTTGGGCCTCTCCCCATATAGGACATGACTGCATTGAACCAGGACTTTTGAGGATCCCAATCACTGTGCACAACTGCTGAAGCAAAGCTGCATAGTTTTACTGCAGGGTAGAGCGCTCTGTTTTCTGAGTACACAGCTGAATTCTGATGATTGATCTCAGATACCACCTGGAACCCAGCAGTCACACAAAAGAATCAGTTCTGCCAAGGGCTCTCTGAACAGGGTAAATGATGAGCTCCACGCAGAGTAGAGATTCCTAATGATCTTGAAGCTTTCATCCAATTATGTATCTGAATTGATCAGAGACTTACTGAAAGGAGGAAGGAGAGACCTGGGAATGTTTGGAAGTAATGGTGACATAGCGTTTTCTTAATGATCAGTTCATTTCAGAAGGATCTAAATGTTTCTCAGACAGATTAGCTAACACATCCAACCTATGCTAGGTAGATGATGTATTAAGTAATCCATTTCTACTCAAAAGAAAGAGACGACGTTTGGAGAACTTATGTCTGTATTGTCGGGGACTCTGGACATTACACAGTTAATTGTCACAGCAAAGTTTTAAAAGAACAATTTGCGATTGATAGTATTATTATTATTCTACAGTATTTATTTATAAAGCTGCCAACAGTTTTCAACTCAGCGCTGTACATTACAAAGGGGACAGAACATGTGACAGAACAATAACCAATACAATGCCAAAACTATGAGGGGATGGGTTTGAGGGCCCTGCTCTTTCGAGCCTTTACAATCTAGGAGGGGGAGGGGATGGTGGCACAGGAGGAGCGGAAGTGTGAGTGTTGGGTGGTACTTGGATTACCAGTGTCAGTGATGTGTTTGGTGGCAGTATGCGGACTGTCAAGGTGGACGGCTTTGTACGTCAGTGTTAGGATTTTTGAATTTGATCCGTTGGGCAATCGGAAGCCAGTGGAAGGGATTGGGCAGATGGGGGATGGCGTTAAATGGGTAGCTTTTGGAAAAGGGTGAGACTGAGTATGGCTGCAGATATTCAGGGTTCGAATGAAGCGGGGATCGGCTGTGGTGAGGCAAGCACGAGAGAGGAGGGGAGTTGCAGGTAATCGAGTCGTGATCTGTATGTAGGGAGTGGATGAGCTGTTTAGTGGTTTCAGGGGTTAGGATAACGTTTGCGGATTTTGGGCAGATGTTGTGGGGGTGTGGTGTTCGGTAGTGACGTTTGTTGATGATTGGGACTTTGGGCTGGGTAGGAATAGGGTTGGAGGTCCAGAATGACCCCCCAAGTACTCTGGGCTGCGGGGCGGGGGGGGTTTGGGGGTTTGATAGTGGCTTTGTTTGCATGTGACGGGAGTTGGTCAATGGGGCCCAGGTGGGTGTCGGGGCTGGGGGGGTGAAAGACAAGAAACGACGGTTTTGGAGAGGAAAGAGGTTCAGTTTAAGGAAGTGGGATTGACAATCCCAGTCCTGATGTGGTCGCTCAGTAGGTGTGTGATTCGGGCGGAGACTGAGGGGGTGAGTTGGGGGTTTAGAGATTTGTGTGTCGTCGGCATATAGGTG